GAGACAGACCGTGTGTAATATTAGCTGTTGTAACAAACTGTATAATATAACCTGTACAACAGACCATGTGTAATATTACCTGTATTAACAGACCATGTGTAGTATTACCCGTTGAGACAGGGCCGTGTGTAATATTAGCTGTTGTAAGAGATGGTGTAATATTACTTGTACCACAGACCATGTGTAATATTACCTGTATTAAAGGACAATATTGGTGTCAGTCATTAGAAAATATGTTATAGAGCTCATTAAATACATCCCAAATATAATTTTAACACAGAGATCATTGCTACGATAGCTGAGTAACAAGCACGTGAAGAAACGGGAAGTGACGTCAAACATGACATACACGAGTTGTCCTTCTATATAACAGACTGAAGTAACGAGCGGTAACAGACAAACGATCGAATTTTATTTCACTGATAATTCAGTTGAAGATGAAAAGTTGTTATATGAGACGATGAGAGGATATCTGAAAATTCAAAAAAAGAATTGGCTGTCAGTAGATAAAAGATAAGAACAAATTAGAAAAAGTCCGTGCATTACCATGTTTTTATTAAGAACATAATGAATAAAAATGGGGGAATGCACGGGATTTTTCTCGTGTCCCTTATCTAGTGACAGCCAATTCTAATTTTGAATTGTGAGATACCCTCTCACCGTCCCATATAATAACTTTTCAACTTCAACAGAATTATCAGTGAAATGAAATTCGATCGTTTGTCTGTTACCGCTCGTTACTTCAGTCTGTTATATAGAAGGACAACTCGTGTTTGTCATGTTTGACGTCACTTCCCATTTCTTCACATGCTTGTTACTCAGCTATAGTAGCAATGATCTCTGTGTTAAAATTATATTTGGGTTGTATTTAACGAGCTCTATCACATATTTTATAATGACTGACACCAATATTGTCCTTTAACAGAACATGTGTAATATTACCTGTTGAGACAGACCACATGTAGTATTACCTGTTATAATAGACTGTATAATATTACCTGTGTAATAGACCATGTGATATATATAACACTATGTTATCTATTTACTATGATGTTAAGTGTAAGATATAAACTACTCTAAACTATTTATATCTGATTGTTATTACAACCTCTCTCACTTTAATGTAATCTGTATTTGCTATCTGGTTTGTGGGAGGTACTACAAGGCCAAGAAGATCCACATGTTCCTGTATGTCAGGGATAGAAAAGTGAAATAAAACTAATAAATATTGGCATAAGCCATGTTGTGTGCTTCTTTTATCTACATTTGGACCCCAGGTTTTAGTTCAATCCAAATGACTAGGCACTGTCCTTGCCAAGCCCTGTATCACTGACAATGGGAAACCACGTTGAGAAAATTCAAAAGTTCTAACCCAGGCTCTCATCTGAGCAAGCCAGTGCCTTACCTAATGAACCACTGCAGCTCTCAGTTCAAAGATGTAAAATAATATGGAGGTATGACATCTTTGTGGATTTGTCAAAGATGGTTCCAACTTGAAAGAACTAGCACCTGCAAGGCTGTTAAGTGTTGCTGAATCATTCAGATTGGACGAAAACCTGAGGTGCACGTAAAAAAAAAACTTACATCAGAAATTAAATTAAAATTTCTGCTCTCTAGCAATTGGCACAAAATTCATTTGAACATCTTTGTAGTCATTTTGTGACTTACATTTTATTCCTATTGTTAGTGGACCCACAGTGGCTAAGTGGGTAAGACACTGGCTCACTAGCCTGGAGGTCGCGTGTTCAATCCCTGCATTGGCCAAGAAAGTTCACCAGGATTTTCTGACGTGGTTTCCCCTTGTCAGTGGTGCAGGACAGAGGGCCTGACAAAGACAGCTGTCTAGTCGTAAAAGATCCCTTGGCAGTTGGAATTCGATATAAGAGTAGGCTATAGTGCTGCTGCCCAGGCAAAATTTCCCTCATAGCACACTGCATGGCATATGCCCGTCTTCATTAGCCCAGTACAGGAGCAGAACAGTAAGGTGTTAAACTCCATTACATTTCTTTTCATTTCTATTCCTATTGTTAATATGTTGCTTAAAATAATACTTTTCTTTTTAATACGTCTGAAATACGTTGCATTATAGTATTTGTTCTCCCGCGAAAAACAAATTTGATTAATGTAATTACAATAATCGAAGGACATAAAATATATAAATCATAATTATTTTTATCACCAACATCTGTAACTCGTAAAAATATAAAGATTAAATACTTTCCACTGATCCTATTTTTAGGCCTGGCATTAGTTTCTGGCCAATCAAATCATGTTCAATTGATCCGAGATAATGTCCGTTTCGTAAACAGGCCAATATAAGATAATTTAACCACTAAATTAGGTTACGCTGAGGCGTATTAAATATTATATGTAACAAGATTAGCGAATGGTGCTTGGTTTATTGATTTATGAAGCAAGATGGTTGTAGAAGTCGGCCGTTCCATCTTGCTGTTGACTGCGAGAAGTTTCTGTTGCATCTAAAAGAAGATTTCACAGTTGGATTCGATGAAGAGTTGGCTACAATGTCACTCTCCAGACAAAATTCTCCCATGACTAGAAAAAAATAATAGTGTTAAGAAGACTTCACAGTTGGATTCAATGATGAATAGGCTGAAATGTCACTGTCCAGACAAAATTCTCCTCCCATGAAATTGGACATGCGACTGGAGAAAAAAAAAATGAGTATTAAGTTAGTCTCAAATCTGATTAAAACACAGATCTTATTTCGTTTCGCTTTTATAGTTCAAAATTTCGTTTTACTTGTCTTTACTACACTAGGATCTGGAAAAGTTGTTATCATTGACGTGTTCTGAATGATGTGAGCTATTAGCCAATGAAACGGTCTGTTATGTCGAGCTTTATTCTTGTTTTGCACGGAACTGTGGGTAATCCACTAGTAACATCAATGCTGATTGGTTAATCAAATGTCTGACTACATAGAGTCAAAAGCCTCTGACGCGACCTATCGCTACAACCGGTCAGATCTTCATGTAGTGTAGGCCATCGAAAGTATAAAAAAACCGAAACGAAATATAGATTTGTATTTTAAAGGGACAATAACACTCTTGCTGGCTTGACAGCTCCATAAAATAAAAAAATAGCCTTATTCTAAGTACTAGATGTGTTAGTGTCTTACCTGTTGTGTAAATTATCCATTAAATCCTGTTTTACTTGTCCAGATGGTTCAAAAATATTTTTAAATCCAAGTCACATTTGAAAAGCTTTATGTCATGCTTTTCAAATCATTTAGTTGAATTTTTCCAATTTTTTAAATTAGGTGTGTTAAGATGAAATTTGTATCATCAATTAATTGGAATATTGTAAAATAGTACAATTTGTTGACCAGAATAAAGATTGGGACATATTATTCAGTTACAACAGGATTGGTATTGAGCCTTTAATCAGATTGGTTAGTCTCAAATAGTAAGTACAGTAGGACTGCACTACACACAATCAAATTGATAAGACAAACGTGCGGACAAAACACAAACTACAAATATTATCCTTGAGTGGCATTTAACGATTGAACACTTTAAAAAAACGCCCAATACAATTTATATGGAAAACAATCACTGGTTTATACACATATAGCATGACATTTCCACAAGTATTCTCGTATCGTTTTCAAGCACAGATCTTTTGTGATTAAAAACAATAAGAGAATACTTATTGAAAAGTCGTGCTATATGTGTATAAATTAGTAATTGTCTTTCCTATAAATTGTGTTGGGTTTTTTTAGGTTTTTTTTACAAACTACATAGACATTACAAACATAATAAACAACAGATACCAAATTAAGTGAATGGATCTGAGGACAAGTTATAAGCGTCCGACTGAAGTATAGTATGCACATTTTTTCGCTGGTGTTTGCAGTTGTTTGAGCTAGTTAAACAGAAAATAAAAAAGAATTAGTTACTGAAAATAATAGTTAATTAAATCTTATTTAAGAAGGTCTATCAAAAAGAATTAAAGCATGGCTCGATGACGTCCCCCAAAGCCACCCCCTTAAATAGTTCACAGAAAATATACTGTCCCTCTAAAACAGTACAACAATTGCTATCTGTTATGGATTATTCTAAAGACAAAGCCACTCCGTAGCATAAATCTGTCTGATCCATCAGCTTGTCAAAGATCTGATGAACCATGTGGCATTTCTGGAGGTGCTACATCAATTGACGTTTGGGGATTATTCCCTGAAGAAATGAATCAATAGAACATCTCCGTTGGTCACTTGTCTCCATGGTTGATGTATTTGATCTTAAAATCTGGGTCTCAACAAATCATGACCCAAGCTTTTGACTTAAGAAAAGATAACAAATTTTCTTATCACTGTCATAAATCAAAGTTGCCGTTAATTGAATACTCGTGGTGGGGGGGAGGGATCTTTAATGGCAATAATTTGAATGAGAAAACTTCATGGATAGACTTAAAGGGGCATTATCACTTAAATGTTTGAAACTGAGAAGGAAACCAGAAAAGAAAAGAGCATCCTGATGGAAGATATTTTGCATATCTCTCTCTCTCTCTCTCTCTCTTTTTCTCTCTCTCAGCTGGTTTTCTCCTACTGCTAAAGGTTCCTAGAGTGGTGAATGTTATTAAAATAAAGATATTATGTTAGTCCTGATATAATATAGTCCCTCTCTCTTCTCTATGCTTAAATCAGAATCTCGCCTGTCCAACCTGGTGGGTTTTCTCCAGGTCCTTCGGTTTCCTCCAACTGCTAAAGACCTAAAAAAAAAAAAAATTGAACTATATGTTAGTCCCGAAATGACCAAGTTTGTGTGAACAAACCCATTTCTCACTTCTCTCTTTATAAATCAGAATAATTTTTTATTTTTTATTTTTTTTTTTTTTTAATGAACCTTCATGCCTTGTTTAAAAAATACACCTTTTTTTCTGATTTAACATGCATGTACATTCTGATTGATGAATTTTAAATATTTAATCCTTCTGTTGGAATTCTTTTTTAAAATTTAATGTGAGGGTCTGTCGTTACACGTTTCTTTCACGGCGTTTATGACGATACCGTTCGTACGCCAGACACTGTATATAGTTAGCGGGTCACTTCAGGGGTCAAAGGTCAGTATGATAATACTTAATTGCAGCCTTAAAATAACTTGAACAAAACAACAGAGTTCTGTGTTGATTGAACGAATTAACGGTTTAATAATAAATCAGATTAATGTTAATGATATAAGTTAAAAAAGACAAAAGTTACATTCACACTTCACATATTCTGTTTTGACAGTTCTCAGTTCATGATATCACTTCACAGCTGACTCGGCAATTGAGTCGAATTTCACATAGTTCACAAGAATAAACAACGTTCACTGTTCACAATAGGTAGATAAAAAGTTCACTAACACATTACACTAAATTACATACAGTGTCTCGGTAAAAAACCGATATCACGACCGCCGTTTGAGAAGACGGCCTCACACGTATTGACATTCACATTCACGCCATTTTCACTGTGTTTCTAAGCACGCTTTTTCTATACCATAATAATTTAAAGTAGACACAATCACACCAGTTGCATAAATACTTCAATACTACTAAAGAAGACTCTTTTATCCAGAAAAACTATGGTGGACCGTTTTGAACATTACACACCGGCCCCTATCGAAATGTAAATGAGATAATAACGCAATATGTTCAAAAATCCAAACTAAATATACAATATTCTTAACTTCAGAATTCAATAGACTGTTACACAAATAATCAGTGTCTTATAATACTTAAATAGCTTTCATACCTCATCATATCCATACAAACATTCACACCTTATTACAATGATGCAATAGAAAAATTAAGATAAATTCACATTTGACAATTGAAACCTTATTTCACAGATTCACATTTAAGCATACATGTACTTATAGTATTTAACTATTTTAGTTCTATAGTTACATAGTTCACAAAATTTACTTATGGTAACACAAACAATAAATCTAATATCATTTCAATACACATAAGCAATGTAAATATCAAAACTAAATAAATTCTGAAAAATTTAACTGTCATTTTCTAAGATTAAACATAATTTAGCTATAGGACGAGTCAAAATACTTGTTTTTGTCCTTAATTTTACACTACGTACAAGACCATGCTTGTCTGGATACACTTCTTCAACGACACCCATGGGCCACGACCCACGGGGCGCACTTGAATCGACTATAAGAGCAATGTCACCAACTTTTATATTTCTAGAAGGATTGAGCCACTTTTCACGACGTTGTAATGAATGCAAATATTCATCAGTCCAACGTTTCCAAAAGAGATCAGTCAAATACTGGATTTGACGCCACCGTCTCTTTGAATATACATCACGTTCATTGAATAATCCAGGGGGAAATAACACATTTTGGTGACACATAAGAAGTGAATTAGGAGTTATCACTTCCAAGTCATTGGAATCACTGGATACACAAGTCAGAGGTCTACTGTTTATTACAGCCTCTACTTCACAAAGGAAAGTGATTAGTTCTTCATCACTTTGTGCTGTTCGCAAAAATTGTTCACACAGAATCCCATATAGGATTTTTCTTATAGTCCTTATCTGCCTCTCCCACAATCCGCCAAAATGGGATGCTGTAGGGGGGTTGAAATGCCACTTAAATCCACCTTGAGTTGAAAAGTTCTCAATCTGTGTTTGATTCAGATCATATAATGATTGTTTCAGTTCTTTCTGAGCACCAATTAAGTTTGTTCCATTATCTGAATATATATCACTGGGCGTACCTCTACGGGCAATAAAACGTCTTAGGGCATTCACACACGAACTAGTGTCTAAGGAATTAGAAACTTCTATATGCGTGGCACAAGATATCATACATGTAAATACAACACCGTATCGCTTACGGATAGAACGTCCTGTTTTGATTTCAAAAGGACCAAAATAATCAATTCCTACTTTACTAAAAGCAGGTAAATCAGGTTTAAGTCGAAAATATGGAATGTCACTCATTTTCTGTTCACTAACTCTAGACTGATATTTTCTACAAATCACACATTTACTTAAAATAGACTTAACTAATACACCACATTTAACTATCCAATATTTTTTTCTAATATTACTAATAGTATGATTTCTACCCATATGGGCTACATTAACATGACAATATTTAGCAATGAGATTTGAAACATGACAACTTTTAGGCAGTATAATTTGATGCTTAAAATTAAAAGGCACGTTTGCATTGCGCAATCTTCCACCAACACGCAAGATTCCATCTTTAAGAAATGGATCCAAACTTGAAATTTCACTTTTGTTTTTGACGTTTTTCACATTATTAGGATTTTCACCGTTTTCACTAAGACACTTTATTTCATCAGAATATACTTGATTTTGAACAAACTTAATGATTTCCACTTCAGCACTATTAATTTCCTCAACAGATAATAACTTAGTACACAAACTATCAGGAATTAAACATTTTTGAGCTTTATACTTTAAAATTTGCTTTAATCTTAACCACCATGATATCGCACGCTTTAATCGATAAAAATCAGAGTACTTATCTATCAATGTATTTACTGCATTCACAGAATCATTGGTTCTCACAAAATTAGTAGGTACTTGTATATCTTCATCATTATTCAATGGAACTATGTTCTCCGGCCAATCATTAATTGATAATTTCAGAAATTCTGGTCCACATAACCACATGGAGTTATTTGCGATATTCTCCACACACGATCCACGAGATGCTAGGTCAGCTGGATTTAGCTTTCCAGGCACAAAACGCCACTGATTCACGTTAGAACCGTCATGAATTACTGCAAGTCTGTTTGCGACAAAAACTTGGTGACATGCTTTTACATCATGTATGTACTTTAAAACTGTTTGGCTGTCGGACCAAAAATACACTTGATTAATAGGAATCGACAATTCACGTGATAACATGTTATGAATTCTCACAATCGATGTAGCTGCTGCGAGCTCTAATTTAACTATGGTGTGGGGCTTTATGGGTGCTACACGAGAACGCCCAAGTAAAAATGAAATGTGTATCTCATTTTTATCACTTTGAAATCTTAAATAAGTAACTGAACCATAACCCTCTTGCGATGCATCACTGAAATGATGTATTTGAGTGTTCACAATCTTTCCAAAGTTCTGGGGTTTCACACATCTCTGAATTGACAAATTATGTAAATTCGCAAGATCAGTAAGCCAGTTATTCCATTCTCTTTGTCGATCAACTGGGATCATTTCATCCCACGATAACTTATCTCGACATAAATGCTGGAGGATTATTTTACATTTTAGCACAAACGGAGATGCTAATCCGAAGGGATCATAAATGGAACTGAACACGGATAGTATATTACGTCGCGTTGCGGTTCTGTTAACTTCACCAATGTTAAACTCAATTAAATCTAATTCAATGTTCCACTGGACACCTAAGGCTCGTTGCACGGGTAAAGAATCTGAAGAAATGTCAAGATCCATCACTTGTTCAGCTAAATCATTTTCGGGAATAGTAGACAATACATTTCTGCTATTGCTCACCCACTTGGTAAGGCGAAATCCACCTTTGGATAAGAGATCACATATTTCACGAATCAGTTTTACACATTCCGTTTCTGTAGTCATAGACTTTAAGAAATCGTCTACGTAAAAATCATAATTTACAGCATTGATTATTTCATGGGAATAATCGTTGGTATTATCCAAAGCCGTTTGCTTCAGAGCAAAGTTTGCACAGCTAGGTGAGCTAACTGCACCAAAAATATGCACTCGCATTCTATATTCAGTAAGATGTCCATTAATGTCACCGTTGGGCCACCATAAATAGCGAAGCATGTCACAGTCTCTCTTCACAACTCTGACCTGATAGAACATTTGTTCTACATCAGCCATAACCGCGATATAATCTTGTCTCCATCGCAATAATACACCTAGCAATAAGTTAGTCAAATCTGGCCCTTGTAAAAGTTGCTCATTTAGTGAGGTCTGTTGAAAGATAAGCGGGCAATTAAAGACTACACGCACTTTATCTGGCTTTTTAAGGTGTATCACGTGATGATACGGTACATACCACACACGGCCATCACTCCTATCAATTTCACTTGGTGGGACAATTTCAGAGTATTTCTTGGATTCTAAATTGTTCATGAATTTGCAATACTGTTTATTTAAAGAATGGTCTTTCACGAGTTTATTTTTAAGTCTGTAGGCAAATGCTTCAGCCTGAAGTTTGTTATTAGGCATAATAACTGATCTGTCACGAAACGGTAATTCAGTCTGATAATGACTGTCTTTTAATTCAATAGAGTTAGTTAAAATGCTCAAAAACTGTTTGTCTTCAATAGACAATGAGTGCTTGTCTTCACAAAGCTTTTCACTAAATTCTAAATTAAAATATTTCTTTACTTGTTGCTCGAGACTATCATCAATCCGGCATAAATTAATACTAATTGAAGCAGAAGAATTTTGTAGTTTACCCGGTAAACCATATAACAACCATCCTAATGGTGATTTAATCCCATAAGGCTCACCAATGTTACCAGTGCACACTTCTAATGGCGTTGTAGCAGCAGGCATGTTCACACCTACCATTAGACTAACTTTTGGAATAAAATTAGGAAATTCACAAATATTTGATACATTAATGTGACTTAAATGTTTCCAAGCATATAAATCATCTTTTCTGGGTACATCACACATGTCAACAGGCATATCATTCTTCACATAAGTAGGAGGTAAATCTAAAAACTGATCACAATCGAGACTGCTTATTTGTAAATTATCAAGAATTTCAGTTTTAAGAGTTTCTATAGAATTTAATGTTTTGAGAGTAACACATGTGGATCGTCCACTGACTTTTAAACGATGAGCAAGATCAGAATTTATGAAACTAGCAGCTGAGCCATTGTCAACAAATGCATATGTTGCTACATAGTCATCACTGTTTTTATGCTTAATAAGTATAGGCAAAATGGCCATCAAGGGGTTGGTATTGCCTAGTACACAGCCAGAAGATACCTTACTTTCATGTTCTGATTTCGGTACAAATGATTTAGAGTTATAGGATTTTGATTCACCAGATATCAACGTACTTACTTGTTTGTCACGAGAAATGTCATCTCTAGTAGGGTCATGCATTATAGTTGTATGCTTTCTGATGCATTTATCACACTTAGCCCACTGGGGATTTGGGCAGTCACTTTTCATATGTTTAGGGTTCAAACATGCAAAACAAAGTCCCCTTTTTTTAACTTCTAACGATTTGTCATTGTTATTCAAATTACTAAATTTACGACATGAGAACAGAGAATGCATACCCGAGCAATATAAACAGGGAGGTTGCGCTGCTAAATTAACTTTATTGACTTGAGTCGAAAATATTTTACGCGACTGATGCGTAATCTTGTTACTAGCAACATAAGGGAAAGTTGATGTGGGTGTACGTAATTGATAACCCAAACCGCTCACTCTGGGGTCGTTTTCATTTCTTGAAATCTTACTGACGAAGTTCTCTAAATCTTCCAACACTGGAGCTCTGTTACCATTTTCCCTTAAATCTCCTACACGACCAATCCACTGCTGTTGCAATGAAACTGGTAACTTAGATGCTAAAAGTTTTAAGAATTCACTGCTGTCCATGGACGACATGTCTGAATTAGAATGTTTTATGTTACAACAGTTATTTAAGAAAAGGGAATACTTTCGAAGTCCACTTTTGTCACCTATAAGTATTTTTGGCCACGTTTCTGCCTTACTTCGAAAGGCAGCTGCCAAAATAAAAGGGTTTCCATAATCACGGTTCAATAAGTTTTTGGCTTTAATATATGCTGCTGATGCAGGCACTATCATTGGACATTGCTTTATCAACTCGTAGGCATCGCCCTGTGTGTATCTTATTAACAGTTCAAGTCTACGACTTGGGTCTACAGTATTGTTCTCTACCACATATTTAAAGTTTTTCATGAATATTGGAAAGTCCAATATATTTGAACCATTAAATGGTTTCAGTTCTTGGGCTGGTAACGCTTGTTCCCTTTGACTGTCTATTAATTTGGATAAAATAGTAGAAATTTCTGGCTCAGATTTTGTCATACTATGATTGATGGTTTCTGTATCTCGATTCACATCCACATGTTCTTTTTCACTAATGTTTATAGGACTGTTTACACGATTGTTAATGTTCACTATAGGGGGTTGTACAATCATGGGTTCATGAATGTTCAAAGAATTGTTACTGTACACAGCAGGTGTCACAGGATCACGCATGCTTACAGCATTCACAGCAGGTGTCACAGGGTCTCGCATGCTTACAGCAGGTGTCACAGGGTCGCATATGTTCACTACATTGTTCACAGGGCCAGTGTTATTCAAAGGTTGCACAGGCCTTTTAAAGGAAATTTCAGAATCTACCTGAACATACATTCTATTAACTTCTGCAGCACTTGATAATTTAGATCTCAATAACAATTCTTCTTCTTTTCTGTTAATTTCTGTTAATCTTGCCTTTAATTCATGTTCTCTACGCAGCCGTTCTGCTTTTTCAGATGCTAGTCGAATCTCTTCTTCCACTTTTTCAAATTCTAAACGGCTCTCTAATTCTTTTCTTTCATCTTCAAATTTATTTCTTTCTGTTAAAGTCATCAGTTGATTCTTTAATTCAATTTCTTTTTGAATAGCTTGATATTTCAACTTTGAAAGTGTAGTGGAGGCAGTTTTTCTTGAAGGTACGTTAGAGATACTATCTATTGGTCTGATATCATCGTCAGGAAGTACATTCCTAGGATTATCCACACCCTCACGACTGGGAAGTTCACCTGAACGTCTGCCTCCGGCCCCACTAGGAACCGTTCCATCACCTGGCACAAAGGCGTCTCCAGCCCCACCTGGGCCTCCCAACTCATTGTGAACCCGAAAGCCCACTGGCACAATCCCGGGGTCAACACTGTTCACACTGTTGTCTGCACTTCTGCACATCAAACTGCGTGATGTTCTTCTTAATTGGTTTCTAAACCTTGGCGGTAAGGATGCCATTTCACAAATTACAAACAAGCACAAAAATAATACACTAAAATTTATCTTCATCACACCATAAAGTTATATACTGTTTTCACTTTGAATTTACATTATTGTCTGGTATTGTCAATGTCCTGACGGTTTTTTACTAACAATGTGAGGGTCTGTCGTTACACGTTTCTTTCACGGCGTTTATGACGATACCGTTCGTACGCCAGACACTGTATATAGTTAGCGGGTCACTTCAGGGGTCAAAGGTCAGTATGATAATACTTAATTGCAGCCTTAAAATAACTTGAACAAAACAACAGAGTTCTGTGTTGATTGAACGAATTAACGGTTTAATAATAAATCAGATTAATGTTAATGATATAAGTTAAAAAAGACAAAAGTTACATTCACACTTCACATATTCTGTTTTGACAGTTCTCAGTTCATGATATCACTTCACAGCTGACTCGGCAATTGAGTCGAATTTCACATAGTTCACAAGAATAAACAACGTTCACTGTTCACAATAGGTAGATAAAAAGTTCACTAACACATTACACTAAATTACATACAGTGTCTCGGTAAAAAACCGATATCACGACCGCCGTTTGAGAAGACGGCCTCACACGTATTGACATTCACATTCACGCCATTTTCACTGTGTTTCTAAGCACGCTTTTTCTATACCATAATAATTTAAAGTAGACACAATCACACCAGTTGCATAAATACTTCAATACTACTAAAGAAGACTCTTTTATCCAGAAAAACTATGGTGGACCGTTTTGAACATTACATTTAATATACTACAAAGTTTTGATTGAATATTATTTTCTCTAGTGCAGATAAGAGTGTCTGGTTGTATGAATATTTTTCGGAAACGTGATCGATTAAATATATATTATGCAAGAGCTAAATCTACCCAGTGAAAGTCTTTATTCTGTCTTCAAATGTAATATAGGGGGGTTGGATGGCTGAATGGTTAGCGTGCGCGCGCTGTATCATAAAGTCTGTCATTGAGTCGACTGCCGTGGTTTCGAATCCCCGGTTGTACGTGACAAGGAGTAGGGGCGCCTGTCCAACCTCGTGGGTTTTCTCCGGGTCCTCCGGTTTCCTCCCACTGCTAAAGACCCCTATGCGCAAGCGAATTATTGAAATAAAATTAAACCATATGTTAGTCCCGAAATGACCTAGTTTGTGTCGAGTGGACGTTAAACCCCATTTCTCTCTCTCTCTCTCAAATGTAATATAATTTAGTATTTATAAATTTATTAAAGATACATTATGTAAGAGCTAAATCTGCCTATTGCAGGTCTTCTTTTTTGGCTTCAAATGTTATATGAATTCCTGATTAGACATTTTTTCACATGACAAGCCTATACTCAACTCTCTAGACCATCGGATGGCACAGATGTAAACGGATTAAAATATGATCGTCATTTAATGATTTAATAACCAGTAACATTCCTATACGATAATAAACAATCTTTGTCAAAACTTCAAACAGTTATAACGTCACTCAGAATTAAGTAATTTGAATGAAATTTTCAATATATTAAATTTGAATTACCTGTATCTATTTTGGAACTATTATAGCAAGAATTGCCAGCTCTTTATCTAAATCTTAAAGATACATTATGGGAGATTCGATAACGAGTTGGCAGTTCTCACTATAATTGTTAAAAACTAGATAATGTAAAGGCAATTTGCTGAAAATTTCATTCAAATTGATCCACTATGAACCGAGAACTAAGCGACTGAAATTCCCATAAGCCTCGGTCATCATTACTAAAGTCAGTACGATGAACAGCATAGTCTCGATTATCCATTTAATCGCTTAATCAAGAAGGACAGTTGTGCAGTAAATCGGCTTACAATCTCTAAAGATCGCAGGCTAGTGCTGCCATCTAGAGTTGATTATGGTCTGGATAGGTTAATTAATGTCTAATTAATAATTTAGATAAGATTTCAGGCCTAAATAAAGACCTGAAATAGGCAGATTTAGCTCTTGCATAATGTATGTTTGAAAAATGCACCATTAACATGACAAACCCATAATCAACTCTCATGATTTCTCCTTGTTGGGGACAGAGAGGGCCTGGTAAGGAAGAGTCTATTCCTTCGGATGGGACACAAAACAGAGTTCTTGTTAATCCTGATTGAATTGGTTGTTAGCCCGACTGATAACCAGTCCAAATTTGGGACAGGAATCATCAGTCAATACATCCTTTGTGATTGAAAATGATAAGAGAATACTTGTCGAAACGTCATGGTATACATGTATAAAACCAGGGTGCTTGAGAGGAAAAAATTGTGCTAAGGCAAGACCTTTTTTGCACCACCCACCCACCCTGCTTTCCAACACTAGTCATATCTAGATGATTCACTAGTGGATTGCGATAAAGCAAAAACTTTTGTACATACTTATATAAGCTTCAAAGGAACAATGGAAAATTCATGCATAATTTCCCATTTCAGTTTTGAACTTTGATATTCATGAGCCCAATAGACTCTTATGGACCCTGGGGCAGCGCACCGACCGCATCGCCCTATGACCGCATCCCCCTATCGTGAGGCTTGCATAAAACAGTGATTGTTTTCCATAGAAATTGTGTTTTTTAATCCAGCAGTGCTTGAATGGGATTTGATCTGATAAAACGAAATACTGCAGAATTGGTGCAAAAAAGTAGAATGTTAAACGCCAGTTCATTTCTATAGTTGTGTAATTTCCACAGATATCTATATGATACACAGTTACTAATCATAGAATTACAGAATGATGGCACCATTCTCTCATCAAATCTACCAGTTGATCTTGACATGTTTTATAAGATATACATATCAATAATTACAATGATTCATTCACGATCAATTTATAATCTAAAAAAAACAGTTCTATCAGTTAAATTTGATTATTTTCTAAAGGTCATTTAATATCATCAAAGAGATACCTGGTTCATTTCTGTGATTAACTATTGATACTGTGTTTATTAATTGCAAATATTGCATGCAGTTGGATTCTTTTTTTCTGAGTCACACTGGCTCGGTGAATATAGAGAGCTGGTTTAGTTAATAGGGTGTATTTGATTCAGTCTTGACTTTGGCTGAGAAAGTATTCCAAAGGATTTTCGAGTCTGTGACTGTGAGTAGGGGAAGTGGTTCATTAAACAGGTGTTTTGCGTTCGAACTCGGCTTTACCTGAGAAATTTTTCCAGGTGAGTATGTCACTTAGTGATTGGGGGTGGGGGGGGTCACTAAATAGGGTGCCAACGTTGTGGGTTTTCTCCAGGTCCTTCTGTTTCCTCCCACTTATAAAGACTCCTACGTGCAAGAAAATTATTGGAATAAAATTGAACCATGTGTTAGTTCCGGAATGACCTAGATTGTGTCAAGTGGACGTTAAACCCTCTCTCTCTGGCGTGCTTTTGATTCCCCAGTTGTACGTGGGTTTTCTACGGGACGTCCGGTTTCCTTCTCTGCTAAAAACTCTACGCGCAAACGAATTATTGAAATAAAATTGAACCAAATGTTAGTCCCAAAATGACCTAGTTTGTGTGAGTGGATGGTAAACCTCATTTAAAAAAAAAAAGAAAAAAAGTTTGTTTGCCTGTAATAATGAATAAAAAATTTTTTTATGTTTTTCAGATTCGTAGAGGAATCACCAATAAAAGAAATGATCCTATAAAAAGGTAAGTTCCTTTAAATTAAAGCCACTTGTCATCAAAGATATGATGAATTGAAAATTATTTAACATTTGGCATCCAGTGCTGACAAAATATGAACTACCCATGGCCAGCCCCATCTATAATTCAAAATTGTTGACTAAAATCAAATGGTGCAAGATCATTTTCACATACTGGCAGCTTCTCATTAGAATAACTGTTCTACTTACTTGAAACAGTATCAATCAAGACTGTTAAAGACCCCTACGCGCATGCGAATTATTGAAATAAAATTGAACATTATGTTAGTCCCAAAAGACATATTTTATGTCAAGTGGACGTTAAACCACATTTCTCTCTCTCCGCTTTCAAGACTGTTTCAATGCTATGTTTAAAGGGACAATAACACTCTTGCTGGCTTGATAGCTCCAGAAAATAAATAATATCTCTATCTAAGTACTAGATGTTTAAGTGTCCTACCTGTTGTGTAAATTATCCATTACATCCTATTTTACTTGTCCAGAGGGTTCGAAAATATTTTTAAATTAAAGTTTCATTTGAAAAGGTTTACGTTAAACGTTTCAAACCATTATGTTGAATTTTTCAAATTTTTTAAAATAGTACAACTTGTTGACCAGAATAAAGATTGGGACATATTATTCAGTTACAACAAGAGTGGTATTGAACCTTTAATATTGTGTTGTAAATATTGCTTAAATTGTAGAGAACTGAATTCTTTTCATGCGCTATGAATATACACGCAGTCTGCGCTATTCAATATACAATGTTCACATTATTATTATTATAAATGCAAATAACATAGAATTCTCACCTTATGAGGTGTTTTTTCCACCCAACATTGACATTATTTATTGGTTGGGGTTATAAAATGGCGGAAATGACTACAACGGGTCCAGCATAGATTGTCTGGTTGGGAAATGAAATGAAATGGGGTTTAACGTCCTACTGTTATGCTCAGAACTGGGCTAATGAAGACGGACATACGCCATACAGTGTGCTATGAAGGAAATTTTACCCAAACAGCAGTACTACGGCCCACTCTTATATCGAACTACCAAGGCTTCTTTTACTTGCACGCCAAGGTGTACACGGGACCTTAGTTTTTTCGTCCCATCCGAATGACTGTGCACTGTCCCTTGCCAGGCCCTCTGTCCTGCACCACTTACAAGAAGGAACCATGCCAGAAAATCCGGATGAAGTCTCTCAGCTAACACAGGGATTGAACAGGGGACATAAAGATTAGCGAGCCAACATCTTAGGCACTGATCCACCATAGCTTCAGAAATGGTTATTGTTTCATTAAATTGTTATCTCCAATTTAAAAACTAGATGACTCAGACAGTAAATTGAATTTACATCGAGATAAAAAGAAAAAGAAAATTAAATTCCATTTACGGTATATTTATTCTTGTCAGGAAGAAAAGCTTGGTAGGAAAAATGTAAAATTGTGACCGTGCCGTAATTGATCGCGTTTTTGTAAGTTCGTGACTTGCATACTCGGTTACTGTTGTCATGCAATATCTTCATCCATAACCTAAAACAATACTTCAAAATGTCTTAGAGGAGGAAATTTCACTCTAATGTAATTTGTCTACTCTGTGTTAAATATACTCAAAACATTTTAGGAAAACTCGAGGGATTGGAAATAAATTGTGTCAATATCAAATGACTAAAGATTTATGGCACATGCCATTCCTTAAAATTCTACTATTGTAATTTAGTATGGGACGAAAACGTGAGATCACTTGTATGCCATTGGCAACACATTCAAGATTCCTTGAGAGTTAAAAATGGATTGGGCTAATGAAGAATAAACTTAGGCCGTAACGCTGCTGTCCAGGCAAAATTTCCCGCGTAGAGCACTGCTTGGCGCTTGTCCGTCTTGATAAGCCAGGTTACTGTGGATTAGTAGTTTGTTAAACTCCGGTTTTATTTCACTTTAAACCAAACAAAAAAAGAGTGGACTGTTAAATCTTAAAGGGACAATAACACTCTTGCTGGCTTGACAGCTCCAGAAAATAAAAAATAGCCTTATTCTAAGTACTAGATGTTTAAGTGGCCTACCTGTTGTGTAAATTATCCATTAAATCCTATTTTACTTGTCCTA